GTCCAGCCTGTTGGTGCTGACACTGCTGCTGTACACGGCGCTGAGGTGCTCTGCGCCACCCATCGAGGTCGCGTGCGAACCTGGGAAGGCCACGCTGGTGTGCTCCAGCGCGGTGGGGAGCTGGTCGTACTCGCAGCAGAGGAGGCAGAGGGTGTGCTCTGGGGAGGAGCCACCGAAGGCCGACCTCATGGCCTTCAGCCCAGGACTTCTTCCGTGTCCTGGATCTGCAGATGGAATGGGAGAAACACCTGCTCTTTTGGACTCCGCTGGGAAGGTGGGTTGACCTAGCATTTTGTTTATGTGTATAATTATTTATTTAGCCTTTAAATATTTTTATTACTTCCTATGGTACATTTAAATCTTTTTTATTTATTTTTGAGGAGTCTACAGATTATTTTAGTTTTCAAAAGTGAACCCCTTAAATTTAAAGGAGACTTTCGTGTTTTGACTTTCCAAATGAGAGTCGTCATAAACTGTACATTAAACAAATATTTATTGGGTGCTGAATCAATTGTATTTAGAACCTGGGATGAGAGTGTCATTGAATTCTTAATACTGAGCTTTTATAGCAACTAAAAACTATTAGGTGTGAAAACCAATTTGGTTATTCATTCAGTAAACCTCAACACCACTGTATCATTTATTCATTTCTAAATTATGAACTGTATTTTATTGTTTATAAGAAACCCTAGCAGAAATATATAGTAACTGTTACTTGTTAAGTTTTTAGTTCTACATTTCTCTGGTTCCAGCGTTTCTAAAGATGTGGTTCTTCAGCACCCCTCCATATCTATTACTTTAATAAGGAACTTCCCCTAAACTCTAAAAAACAGTTGCTCCACTTTAGGAATCCAATTCTGTCAATAAATGTTACAATGTAGACCTCATTTTGACTTTTATAAAATATGTTTCTAAATTTCTGACAATTTGAAGTATAAGAAAATGTTGATGGATGATCTTTTCTACACTTAGAAATTTTCTTGAAATTCATTTTTCTCCTGATATTGGAGAAAATATTTTCTGACTGGTTCTTTCTTCAAAAAGACATTCTTCCTTTTATTGAAATTTTCTCAGTTTAGTGATAAAATGCTGAAGCATGGAAAGATTCTAAACTTTGAGTTCTCTTGAAATTCTTAGTTTCTAATATAGAAAATATGGCTACCAGTTTAGACGAGGATTTACTTTTTCGGTCAGCAGTCAACAGTCAGGAATCTGGATATGAGATTGTACACCATTAAAGTCACTGCATATTACATTTATATTTTCTGGATTGTAGTTTGTGACTTTCAAATTGGTGATTCTTCACACTGTACCTATATTACAAGGTATCTTTTTGTTTACTAACTTATGTTTTAGAAACTTCACTTGTACTCATGCTTAGCTTTCATTATGTGATTTATATTTATCTTGTAGCTATTTTATTTATGTTGTGTCAGGTATTATATAAGGTATTCTTTAATTAGAAGATCAGCAGAGCAAAATAAGAGTGGCCTTGAGTATAGAGCCACAATAATAACTATAAAAATGAAAGTAAAATTTATTTAAAATCAAATATTTTAGAATGTTTTCCTTTCCCTCTAAAATATATGTTTGGAATATGCTACAACAGTCTTTTTTTTATCTTTCTTCATTTTATGTCTTTCAAAACTTTAGTAGTCTCTGAGCCCTTGTCATTAAACCTGTTTTTTTCTATCAGCACAACTCACCTTGAATCCAGTCCTATACTTTCAAGTATCTCTGTCTGTGCATGTTTTTCAGGTTCCATGTGCCATCTGAACCTGGGGCCAAGTGTTTGATTATGTGATATGGACTGAGGGGTGCTATAAATGTTATTTGCAAAATAACCATAAACAAAAAACAAAAACAAAAAACCTCCTCTAATTTCTTAGACCTAGTATTTATTGAGCCTTTATTATATCCTCCTTAATTAAAATTTTATTTCTTATTATTGATGGTTGTATTGATGTAATTGGTAATTTAGTTCTTTATATTAATATTTATTGTCTCCCAGAGTATGGACTGTCATCATATGCAAATTCTCAGAAGAGCTGTGAACACATAGTAATGAGTATCTTTTGGTGTCATCAGGATGCATGAGCACATTGGGATCCAGGGAGGCTGGAATTCAAAAAGGCCAGCAAGTACAAAACAGAGGAGAGAGCATTGAAGACTCCTTAGTATTTTGCTATCCCTGTATGCTTCTATAGCCAACATTCCTTAATTCAAGCCAGAATCATGATACCAATAATGAAGCTCCTCCAACACCAACTCTTTTCAAATTGTAGTTACTAGATAGGGTGAACTAAGTCATCACCCAATTTCAGACACTTTTGAGAGTGAAAGGGACACTCTAAATTAGCATACAAGACCACAGACTAAAATGAGCCTGTCTAAGGCAAATTGGAGTTTGTGGTTATCCTATCCTTGGACCTGCTAACTCTAACTGCATTAGCATTACCTGGAGTCCTCCTTGAACATTCTAATTCAAGACTCTACCTCAGAATTTCTGAAATGAGCAGTACAAATAAATTTGCACTTTAACGAACACCCGAGGAAATTCTTATCCAACTGAAGTTTTACATCCGTAGCCCTATTTGGTACTTTACAAAGCAAGTTCCTATTATTAAAAGGATGTAACTTAATCAGCTCCTACTTCTTATTGAATATTGGAGATCCAAAATGGGATATTTATGTTACTACTTGATATAAAATGAACATTAGCAGGAATGAATTTTAGTGTTTGTCATTATCTTGTGTTGAGATGATTAATCAATGATAAACTTATAGACTACAGATAATAGCTCAAAGTGAGCATTGGTATTGTGGATGGATGGATTGATAACTAACTGCATTTCAATGCATGCTTTATTAAAAAAGTAATCCCTAAAATCAGAACTTGAATAAATTTTGACACTGGAGTCATTCCAAAGGAGTAGAGCAGTAGCAAAACAGAATTTAGTAGGACACATAAGTTAATGGATTGAGTGACCCTCATTCCTGTCATTTTTCTTATCCACAAAAATTGTTGTTCTTTTGTTCATATTTTAATAACTAAGAGTTTAAAATTATTGACATGTTAAAAATCTCTCGTACAAGTCATAACATCATTAAATTAACGAAATCAACCTCTGTATAGGACGAAAGATTCTGTTATTGCTTTCCGTTTTTGGAAAAAGAGAAAACTCATTTTACCAGCAGCATGGATATATTAGTGGAGATTTTGGTTTTTGGATTTTGATTCCAAGAACTTTGAAAGAGGAAAAAAAAAAATTTTTTTTTTTACTGCATGTGGTTACAAAATACTTTATTGAAATTGATAAAACTATTAGATAAATTTCAGAACTGTACCTTTAGGTATTTGAAAACTTAAATATAACAGTGGTGAAAGCAGTTGCTTTTAAAAGTAGAAATTATAAATTTGTTAATTACTTTATTTAGAGTCATAACTAAGATTCTTTTTGCCCATTTAAGATATCATACAGTGTAAAAAAAATCATAAAGTGAAACATCTCCCCTCCCTGTATAACTGATTTATCAATACAACACTTTTCTGTTTTCTTAAAGACAGGAACCACCACTCTCAGACAGCAGAGTAGCATTAATAAAGGCACTGTAGAGTGACAACATTCTAACATTCTCTATGTAGTAATTTTTCCTGATGAGCCAAATTTGGTTTTGAGCATCATGAAAAAAAAATGGCCAGATTGAAGTCTGAGCATAATTCCCATTTGTGAAGCACTCATGCCCCTTAAGGTACTATACTAGCCACTTAATATATCATAATTTATGCAATTACCATATTACTACTATACCAGTATTATGAAAATGGAAACTGAGACAGAGAGAAGTTAAATAATTTCCCCTAAGTCACATGGGTAGTAAGAAGAATAATAGAAATCTATGTGAAGAAATGTCTGATGTTGAAGGCAGTGATCTCTCTATATTCTAGAGATGATTGTAACTTAGGAATTGAAAACACTTCACAGATAATTGATGTTTGAGATTAGTATCTATGTAAGGTTTATTGAATCTCAAAATTATAACTAGGAGAAGTTAATTAAGCATCGGAATTTTAGAGATGTAAACTTGTCATCCAACGAAATACTAGTACACTCAGTAGTATGTAAATATTAAGAGCAGTTTGAAATTTAGCTAACGATAATTATGTGGTTATGGAGATTCCACATTAAAGAAAACTTTTCACTTAGGATCTACATTATTATTATTATGCAAAAAAGACACAATGAAAGGTTTTGAAAGTCCTTAGAAATAAAAATGCATAAAAATTGAATTAAAAAATATGAATGAAAGAAAATTTAAACTCGTGGAATTTTACTTACACATTAAGCCACCGGATGTCGCTGTCGTCCACAACATAGCTTTCTAGAACAAAAGCAGAACACACTGTTTCTCAAGGACTAGGAAGTAGCTACATTCCCAGATATCGGCCATTTCATTTCTTAAAGAAAATGGATGTAAAAAATCGAACAAGAAATGTCTCAGCCAGTGCGCATTCTCGACCGCTGATTCATCGATGTGTAGAACAAGAGAAAGGTACGAAGCTGGTCTCCAGATCGAGCCGCCCAGGAGGTCAGCGCCTGCTGCTCTCGCTTCTGCTCCTCGCATTCTGGGAGGCGGGGAGCGGCCAGCTCCACTACTCGGTCCCCGAGGAGGCCAAACACGGCACCTTCGTGGGCCGCATCGCGCAGGACCTGGGGCTGGAGCTGGCGGAGCTGGTGCCGCGCCGGTTCCGGGTGGCGTCCAAAGGCAGAGAGGACCTTCTGGAGGTAAATCTGCAGAATGGCGTTTTGTTTGTGAATTCTCGGATCGACCGGGAGGAGCTGTGCGGGCGGAGCGCGGAGTGCAGCATCCACCTGGAGGTGATCGTGGACAGGCCGCTGCAAGTTTTCCATGTGGAGGTGGAGGTGAAGGACATTAACGACAACCCCCCGGTATTTCCAATGACAGTAAAGACTATCCGGTTTCCCGAATCGAGGCTGCTTGACTCGCGGTTTCCTCTAGAGGGAGCATATGATGCAGATATCGGAGTAAACGCTCTTCTCTCCTACAAGCTCAGTGCCAGTGAGTTTTTCTTTCTAGACGTACTGACAAATGATGAACTAAGCCAATCTTTGTCTCTTGTGCTGGGGAAATCTCTGGACAGAGAGGAAACTTCTCAGGTTAATTTGTCACTGGTGGCTACAGATGGTGGCAAACCTGAGCTCACAGGCACCATTCAAATACTTATTAAGGTATTAGATGTGAATGACAACGAACCTACTTTTGCCCAATCAATTTATAAAGTACAATTGTTAGAGAACGCTGCGAATGGAACCTTAGTGGTTAAATTAAATGCTTCTGATGCAGATGAAGGGTCAAACAGTGAAATTGTGTATTCACTCAGTAGTGGTGTGTCTTCCACTGTACAGACTACGTTCAAAATAGATCCCAACTCAGGTGAAATCAGAACTAAGGGAAAATTAGATTATGAAGAAACGAAGACCTATGAGATTCAGGTCATTGCATCTGACAAAGGAACCCCGTCAATGTCCGGACACTGTAAAATTTCAGTAAAACTCGTGGACGTCAATGATAACACACCAGAAGTCTCAATAACGTCTCTCTCACGTTCCATCCAAGAGAATGCTGCCCTGGGCACCGTCATCGCCCTCATCACAGTGTCGGACAGCGACTCTGGTGTAAACGGGCAGGTCATCTGCTCCTTAACATCTCACGTCCCGTTTAAACTGGTGTCCACCTTCAAAAACTACTATTCACTGGTACTGGACAGCACCCTGGACCGCGAGAAGGTGTCTGCCTATGATCTGGTGGTGACAGCGCGGGACGGGGGCTCGCCTTCGCTGTGGGCCAAGGCCAGCGTGTCCGTGGAGGTGGCCGACGTGAACGATAACGCGCCGGCGTTCGCGCAGCCCGAGTACACGGTGTTCGTGAAGGAGAACAACCCGCCCGGCTGCCACATCTTCACGGTGTCGGCGCGGGACGCGGACGCGCAGGAGAACGCGCTGGTGTCCTACTCGCTGGTGGAGCGGCGGGTGGGCGAGCGTGCGCTGTCGAGCTACGTGTCGGTGCACGCGGAGAGCGGCAAGGTGTACGCGCTGCAGCCGCTGGACCACGAGGAGCTGGAGCTGCTGCAGTTCCAGGTGAGCGCGCGCGACGCTGGCGTGCCGCCTCTGGGCAGCAACGTGACGCTGCAAGTGTTCGTGCTGGACGAGAACGACAATGTGCCCGCGCTGC